CATGGCTTGGGTATATCGTATATATACATATATATTATTCATACCTTTGGTGTATAGGACGCAAGCAGATTTTGACATAAAATTTTGGGGTTAAAAAGTGCGTCTTATGCACCGAAAAAATCAGGGTCACTGATGAGGAGTGGGATACTCCCTCGTGTAGCATTGCGCGAGATTCAAAAACAAACCTATTTGCATTATCCCTAATCAGCAGCTTCTTGTACAGTGGTAGTCGTACGTTACATCTCGAATGTGATACAGCGAATTATGCAACCAGCTTCAGTCTATTCTGACGTACTCATTGTGATAAATAAATTAATAACTTACGTAGTGTAACTGCCACATAAAGAAGCAGAAACATCCCCTACTGGCTTCTGCTCTGTGTAACAAAGATTAGAGACGTTCATTGTTGGACAGCTTCTGTTTTGATAGAGTGTTTAAACTAAGTACAGACAACGCGTACGGCAACAATGCTTTCCTGAATGTAGCTGAATTAGAAAGTATTCGTTTTCTAAAACATGATATGAAACCAGTTATAGTATTTGCATAACACGCACAAATTTTACGTTTGGAAAACCAAGCTATCTTATACAGAATCACACAAGTTGAAACCTCGAAGAAAGAGTAAGCAACTTAATAACTTTCGCGGTTTTTAATACGATTGAAATTATTTTACTATAGTTTTACAGTTAGGGGTAACATAAATATATTGTTGTCCATTGAGAAGGTTTATTCACAAATGCTCTAGTGATCTAAATCTTTTATCAGAGATCAGAAATTTTCTGTTTTATCATCTTCGGTACCTAATTTTAACCTGAACAGTTGTTGCTATTGAATTGTGATGTTTTGTGTTTCTGTATTATTTTATCTGTAATTTCGACTAAATCTTCCAAAATGTCAGACATCAATGATTTACAGTTATTTTGTCCTTATTCATCTTGCAATATATTAAATGATATCCAGCGTACTTCTAATGATTCCCATGTTTGTAAAACATTCTTTAGAGCCAACGCCTCAGAATATTTTCTGGATCAATCATGTACTTTTTTATCAAAAGTAAGCTTACCTTTCCTTGAATCAATCATGTATTTTTTATCAAAAGTAAGCTTACCTTTCCTTGGATCAATCATGTACTTTTTTTATCAAAAGTAAGCTTACCTTTCCTTGGATCAATCATGTACTTTTTTATCAAAAGTAGCTTACCTTTCCTTGGATCAGTCATGTACTTTTTTATCAAAAGTAAGCTTACCTTTCCTTGGATCAATCATGTACTTTTTTTATCAAAAGTAAGCTTACCTTTCTTGGATCAATCAAAATAACTTCTGTCTCACATGATGTGAACAAAATATTCATTGACATCAAATTATGCAGTATTGTGATTTCGAAAACATAAAATATGAATAGTTATCTCCAAAGTAATATATGTATAGAATTCGTTATGAATGTTAAAGCTACCTTGATATTTATAGATGGTCCATTGGAATTCTCCAAGATTCCACTCCTACCTTCCCTCTGGAAATTCCTTTCCCGCCATCTGTGCTGACATGCTGAGTGGAGCGTTCGGAATTATTGGATTTTCTTGGGTAAGAAAATGTATTGTGGACTAAACAAATTGTTTTTCAATAACTGTAGATTAAGATCTCTGTAATAAAAATCGTTATTTTCTAAGAAAAATATTTTATTCTCACAATGTATTGTTGAAATTAACATTAGTGATATATCACTCTTGTGAACTTCTTCCATATAAAGTCTGCATGTCCAGTATCAACTGACTTGGAGATAATCATGCTAGATTGGCTAGGAAAGATGCTCCAGCTGCCTCAAGATTTTCTGTTTTCCTCGAATGGAAAAGGAGGAGGAGTGATTCAGGTAGGTACTATGGATAAAATAAACTGACATTGTTCATTATTATTATAAGAAGGTTGAATACGTTGTGTTAAAATGATTTTGGAGCATTATGACGTCTTACAATCTATGTAGCTAAGTCCGATCAGTCATGCTCTGTCTGACGACTGTGCATCTTGACAATAATCCTGCAGCGTAATTTCCATTGCAAAAGGCTCCATCATAAGACCATCATGTCTATAACACACCATTACTCTCCTTGGCATTTCCATAATCAATCTAGTTTACGAATACTACAGTTCCCAGCACCCATTTCAACAGTTTGATTGTACATAAATATATAAGCTCTACGTTCGGCAATCTGGCCAAAATTCATATGAAATAGCACGAATACCTGTTTCATTCTCCAGCTGCTTGAGATTTGCGACTATTCAGCGGATATTTCGTGAAAGAAACTTGTGTCCATATGACTTTTGTCACTTTTCCAGGTGGAGATCCTTCTTGGTTTTGTTACGTACTGTTGCCTGGAGAACGTAGACAGCTTTTTTGATCGTGGATTCTCATCTTTTACAAGACGTCACACTTTACTTACTAAGGCTAAGGCACGTCTTGTTGCAGGTCTCTTTCGAGATGATTCTGGTGCTCCAAGTTGATCCATATTCATTTGTTTCCAGTGCCTTTAAGTAAAAAGGATATCCCCGTCTTGGGAATTCTAAATCCACGATCTGAACACATCTTTATTATTTGAGTGTGTAAATATTTTGTGTCAAAGAGCTGTTTGTTACGCACCCTCCTCGAAAGCGATAGACTTTCAGTGGCTTTACACTGCCTACGAAACGCCAAACAATAACAAAACGTAGTTCTGGTACATGCACTTTCAGTGCAACTTCATATCAACTGTGTGTTGTCAAACGACTTGCTGAGTTGCATATTCAAAATAGTTTTAATATAATCGTACTCATCCCTCTGTAATGCGACAAGAGGAGTATTGTTTGAGACATGTGTATAGACTGCATGACAACGTTGTAGTTTTGTTATAATGTGACAATAGAAAAGACGATTCATGTATTTTATAAGTTATGCAACAGTGTTATATTATTAGAATGGGACAAGAGCACATGTCATTAGTGCTGTTTTTTGTTTTTGTGTCCCAAAGAAGAAAGTTAATAACATACAAAGAGAGAAAATTTCCATGAACATGATCATTTTACAAAGAAAATACAGATACCTATATATAGATATACATTATTATCAGAAAAATTTGTTTATTTAAATTTAAAGCCATTAGAATTGACAATTTAAATCGTTATCTTATGACCGTGCCCCCCAGTGGCACAGCGGTATGTCTGCGGACTTACAACGCTAGAAACTGGGTTTTGATACCCGTGGTGGGCAGAGCACAGATAGGCCTTTTTGCAGCTTTCATAAACTTTATACAACTTTAAAGGGACAAAACGGAGCTTATTGGTTCATCAAGGATGTCCCTTCCAGCTCCTAACTATAACCACCCTTACTACTCAATCTTTTCTAGAACTCAGTTAAATTTACTGCATCCGCCACCCTAGAAGACAGCTCATTCCAAAAGCCAACCACCCTGTTTGAAAAGT